AAGAGTGATGGACAGCTACCTGTGGCGTTGCCAGGTGGCCTCGGTCACGTGGGTTCGTGACGTAAGGGGTAAAAGAATCTTGAGGTCATGGGGCTTCCCCTGACCTGGATTCTATCTCTCCGTCACCGGCAGAATCGCTGATTAATGCCTACAGTTCAAAATAGTCATTTTGACTGACCGGAGTCTATGGTGGGTAATTGAACGTAGTGAATTGTTACAATATAGGTACTTTCCTTAAGGCTTATTGCTCAACATTAGGTTTGAAATTACAAAGTATGTACCCAGACAAAAAAGTATGTAGTCGCATCAATCTCTGCTACACATTGGTCAATACGACCGCTTTATTATCTTTGTGCATATTTTGCAGCATCCTTGCACTGAGCTCATAATATTATTATAATAACTCACCTCAACAATATCATCATCAAATAGTAACCAGAAGCCGTGGCTTTTAACTATTGTAATATAATGGCCCCTATTTGGGCCGCTGTAAATGAAAGAACATATCAGTCACTGTTTTATTTACATCATACACGTATAAGGGCTCCTGTTGTAAGGATGTCTGTGATTGAATAAAGTAAACTGTTTGAGTTTTTGTAATCACAAGAAACAGTTTTACAACAGAGTCAACAACAACAATGGGAAGAGATATTTTCTCTCATACATGTATACCTTGACCTTCATCTACAATGATACAGACAAATTAAAAAAAACAGGTACAGCTTTCGAAGACATTATTCTTTGTAATATCAAAATAACAGCATAAAAAGATAAGTTTGAATGTTGTTCAGACTATTCAAGTGTTTTCCATCCCACAAGACGTGTTGAGAGATGGGTATGTGACTCAGAATGTTACCCCGGTAACTATTCATATCTGAAGCTCCAGCACTTAGCCTGATACTAGTATATAAAAGCCACCTCCCCTATGACTGGCACTTATAATTTATTTTCAACATTCAGAAATACCTGACTAACTGCAGCCATGTACAATTGTCTAATTTGCAATATATATCGTTACGATGTCTGGGTTTCCTTTCTTTTTCGTAGATGTAAGCTGATATCAAAGTCACGATATTTTGTTTATTTTTCAATAGACAAGAACATGGACAGAGTGAAATGGAAAACATTATTTGTTCATTCAATGTTAACACAATTGAGAATATTTTAAAAATTTGTTTATGTCCATCCAATCCATAGTACAGTTGAAGAGTACCATGTGGTCAGTAAATAGCTGTTATTGTAGTTGGATTAAAGTAAACAGCTGTAAAGTCGTCTGAAATTCAGTAATATATAGTTATAAAACTGTCCGTAAGTGGATAAAGTTTAACACAATTGTAAGCACTTACCTTCCACAGTGGATAACTACAGCAACTAAATCATAAAGTTTGTCAGGATTGAACGCATCATCAGACTGCAATAAGAGACAAAATATTTAGATTGAATAGCATGTAACTCTAGCAAAGTACATCAAAAATTGTTTTCCCGCTCAAAATGGAATAAATTTGTTTTCTGTAATTTTCAGTGAATTCAATCTTTTTTTGGACCAATCAGACAAAAGGTGATGTAATAGAGGTCTACCCAAGGTATGTGTACATACAAATGTATTCACCAAATATCAATTCAATCAGTGCTGTTTGGCAACCACTCTGGCCAGGTACTCTCGGCAATCAACCTAAGATATCTGAAATATCATCAGTAATTCCAAACTCACCGTGTTCATTAGCCTGAGTTCCAATGGAAATACCACCCTGTATGATAATTTAGTATACCTATGTAACTGTTCCATATATTTAAATCTCTTTAAATGCAAGGCAAGTATCATCGGTAGCTTCTTAACCCTCATTCTGTAATCGTATATAACACAGTGAATTCATGAAAATGTTCACATGTTGATACATGTTGTGTACAATCTTTTCCATATAATTAAAATCCTATGTAGATAAAGACTCCAGTTGCTTTTCATTTCAGTGACATTTCCTATAACTATCGCGGTTCTAATTTATCTTGGTCATTTTCTAAATTTGCAAATGGATACAATGGTATTCAAAATCATACAATCAGACCAAACCACAACAAATTAGATTTAAAATCTAAAAACTATGCATTCCTCAACACCATAAACACATCAGTATTATTCTCTCATGTACGAAGATACATGTATTAAGGTGAAATATATATTTTTCAAAAAATCAGACTAACTTGAGTGGTATCAGAAAATGACAAGTTAAATTAGAATAAATTGACTACATTTGACCAAATGGTGATACAAATCGCATTCAGGCAGCTTTTCTCTGATTGGAAGTTTGGTAGCTACCATAATTAGAGAGTGCCTCGCCACAAAGTATGTTGGATTATAATAAGAAAACTGAAAATGAGAAATCACTTTCAAAAAGGAATGCGCAGTGATAACAACAAAAGATAAGCACAGTGTAGGTGTGTATAATTGGCAGTTCATCTTACTAGATACTACCAGATGTCTCTATACTGTTAGGTTTGTTGTACTGGTTGACGCGTTCTACTACCTTGTAGTACGTCACTGTGTTTTAAAAATCAATACCTGGGCGGCGGCGATAGTATCTAGTGAGTAGACACATGTCAGAAATATACACACTCGAGCAGTTCAAATCTTTTTTTTGTTTTTATCACTGTATGTCCATGTTTGTTAGTGATTTCCCACTCACTATGTGTGATCAGTGATCATCAAATAATATAGAAATCAACAATCGCTTCAATGCATGTATGAGTGAGTCAAATTCTACCAAGATGAATAAAGAAGACAAAGGTCAACGCTAAAAACAATTGCATTTTCTCGTAAGAGACACGTTTGTCAGAAGATCACATGTGCACATTCTATAACATTGTTCTCCTGTCATTGAAACACAATATAGCAGAAAGTAATAATCATAAGTCATGGTTATAACTAATGAGCACCTAGCTTCTAGTAACTCTTCACAACAAACTGATCGCTATGCAAACATTTGTATTTGGGTGAACCTCACCCATATGCACATGTACAGTTACGACACAGGCATTTTAACACACAATAATTTTGTTTACCTTTTTTGTGCTTCTTGTTTACTGCAACAATTTTCACAATAATATTTATATTCACTACATAAAGTTTCAGTACTGCTAAACCCCCTATAAATAGTAAAGAAAGAAAATTATTATATGTCTACAATTTGTATCTGTGTAATCCATGGCATTGAGAACCACAATAACTTTCGTTATAATAATCTTGTTATTCTTCGTTTGACTGGCGTCAAATTTATATCAATATTACACACAGGCCCAACACTGTACAAGCACAATGTTAGACCACTCAGTTTTGTTTGTTGTGTTTTGTCAATTTGGACACGAAATGGTTATACACAAGATACCAGTATTTGCATCCTTGTGTAATGTATACTATAGTATTTTCCTAGACTCTCCAACAATACCTTTACTGTAAAATGTACTTGAACATAAATTCTGTTATTTTCTAAATAACCCAACAGTACATTATCAATGGTAATTTGCTCATTTTGTAAATAATGTATAGAAATAAAAAGATCACATGGTTGTTTTTTACTGATCTAGATAAAATGTGATCCAGTTCTGGCTTTAGAACCACATTCATTAAAACAAAGTGGCCACCAGGCAGCCATTTTTAATTCAATCTGAAAAACAAAATGACGCGCATCCGAGACTCATAATGTCAAATGTATGTACTAAGAAATGCATGATTCTGATAATTTTTTAGCACAAAATGGCCATTCAGCCATCTTGAATCAGATCATGAAACAAATTGATGTGCATATGTATAATATTATTTATGATGTGTGAAGTTTGAATGTAATTGGTTTAGACATGTGTAAGATATAGGCTCGGACGCATGAATACATGTACGGACACACGTACAGAGGTCATCCGTAAGTCCCCGTTTTTGAATGGGAACTAATAGATTGAAGCATCTCAAAGATGCATTATTTTTTTAAAACGACCACCAGTCGGCCATTTTGAATGTGCATTATGGTACATGTGTACTATTATGTTCAATGTATGTACCAAGTTTGAACAAAATCCGCCTATGCATGATTAAGATTCGGTTCCGGAATGGTGAACATGTGTGATTTTGGTATTTTGAGGCCTATTTTTGAGCCTGTCCAATATTATGTATGTGCAAAGTTTAAATTTGATCAGTCCAGGCATGTCAGACATATAGATTTAGAACTGCATTTTTTGAAACAATATGGCCGAGAAATGAAATGACAAGTGTCAGGATCCCATTGAGTTCTATGTATGTACCATGTTTAAATCGAGTCCGTCAATACACGACTGAGATCCGGTTCTGGAATAGTGGAAATGAGTGATTTTGATGCATTTTTGGCCTTAAAATCATTCGGTCATTTTTAATTAGATCATGAAACTAATCTGTTCAAGCATGTGTGAGATATGGCTGGACACATGGAGGTCAATCCATTAGCTGCATCTAAACAGGCACTAATAATGCTGTTTGAATGCCTCTACTGTAAATACAGTGGGAGAGTCTGTATACGAATATTCCATTTATAGAATTGTTTTCCTGACATCAAAGTTTATGATGACTTTGGCATGTCACTTTACATCTTGTGTTGTTGTCTCTTACCTTAAACAATGTGTAATTGAAGTATTTTGGTCCACATCCACTGATAGATCTAAAAAATCTTCATCTTTACTACTAACCTGTAGTCGGATAACACACAGTGACACAGTGCATAAGTTCATGTTTACACAAGTTGGTGTCAATTGAATGTGTGGTTTTTTTTTCTTTTTCCCAATTTAGAGTTTTTTTTATTGTTTCTGTGATAACTTATTTCAAATTGCCCACACAACATTTTTATTCATGCATAAACTATCATTAATGACTGATGTGGTTAGCTTATGAAAGCCAAATTGTTTTCCCTTAAAAATATATATATGTTTAGAGATAAAAATTTTGCGGCAATCATAATCAGCTGGCCTGTGTTTCGTATTGCATACAGTACCACTCAATTCAGTTACATTGTCTTATTTTTCCTGTGTCAACAATTCGGACACCTATAGCAAACACAACTTAGAAGATTTTCAATATACAGTTGCCTACAGTAATCAGTAGAGTAAGACACTTTTGAATATACACAAAAAAACTGATAGAAGAATAATTGATAACTTACAGCCTCACAACAAAGACATCTTGTTTCGTTCGTTAATGTTCCTTGGAAGATATCATGAACCCACGTTGGTTCTGGTTTGATCTGATTATCATTACCATTTTTGGGTTTACCACCTTGCTTCTCAGCTATCAGATAAACAGAATCATAATTAAACTGGATAATTTTACTTCCCAAATTTTGATGCAACATTTTCCCATTATATATATTTATCTATAATTTTTTAGTTAACTTCGGCCCAAATGGGAACAATTTTCCAATTGAATACAGGTTTTGATCAGATTTCATAAAATTCTTAGCCAAAATGGTGTTTGTGGTAACATAAGAAATGACAATATGTAATATGGCTTGTGTGTGTGTGGAACATTGAATGTACTTGTCACACTGTAATTTACATACACCCAATATATACAGAACATTGTACATGTACATACCTTGTAAAAGATCTGCTATTGTATTTAACAAATAATTCAAAAACTCGTGGGCATCTTGCTGCATGTAATTATCAAATAATTCTGAAACAGAACAAATTAAACACGAGTTGAAGAGATTAATATATATCACACCTATGTTCACGTTTATATTCCCAGTATTCCACTTGAATATTTATGCCATATACCCTGGTCATAGACCCAGGATCTCAACATGTAAAGTCAGGGTAGAGGTATACCCGAGGACCACCATCGAAAAGATGAAGAATTTTTGTTTGTTTAACATTATAATCATCTTACCTTTAGAAAAATTATGCAAATGACAACTTACGTTCACCACACCGATTAAAGGGGAATATTATGTCTTTTTTGGAGAAATGAATCACATCATAATTAATTTCACAACGAAGAAACAAACATTTTCACGAAAAATATGCATTACAATATTATTTACATACTATCTGAATTTACGAGGTAAAATTATTGCAGCAAAACAGCCAAAAACAAGATTTCATCAATATCTTCATCGTGGCAAATTTTCAATCAAATGCAAAGTAATATGACAGAACCCCACACCCTCCCCG